CTCACCTAATATCATTCAAATTATCAATCTATACAATAACACTAAAAACAAGCACCAAACTAATCATTAAACCATCAAACAATATTCAACAAACAATCTACAAAACCATCTAGTACCATATGAATTGTAACTACTAAAAACCATTGTTCAATCCTCCACTTGTAAAGTAGTTTAAGAAGTTATAACAATTCTAAAAAAGTGTGCATCTAAACCATTAAAAGGTAGAGTACAACATTTAGGAATCTAACGATTAAGAACACCCAACACCCAATTCTTCCTAAGATTAGCATGCATGTTCATGAGCCACTCTCTCGCATATGCCTTCTCAAAAATTTCATAAAGCTTCAGGTAGTCATTATCAAGGTTCAAAGTATCGGAAATGCAAGGTGTATCGAAAAAGTAATTTTAAGAGACATATCGAGATACACTTTTGAAACGTATAGATATAGATGAAAAATCAAGATACGCATGTATACACTAGAAAATCCAAAATAATCCTTAAAAATATGAACAATAATAAAAATAAATTGTATGTGAGTATAACTAATTTATTTAAACATAAAAACCATTCTTTAATGATTTATATAAAGTATCGGAATATAATTAGTAACCATTGAAAAATAATAAAAGAACTAAAATGTTTGTAATATATACTAATATTTATTAGTTAATATTTTTTTGAAATCATTTATTAGTTAATATTTATTATATATAGAATTAGATAATATTTATTATGTATACAAGTTAATATATACCTTAATTTTTAATAAATCAATATAACTTGTATTCATCTTATTATTATATAAATATTAATAATCAAATTTATAACATTTGTTGGGAAACATCCACCCAGGCAAGAAAGATTAAGTATAAGAAAACATGTCCTAATAAGTAATTAATGCTGGCATAATGGTTAATTAATTATTGTTATAAGCAAATGACTTGGGTTTGAAACTTGTTACATTTGATTTGTGATTTTTAACAAGTTATTTCACTTAAATAACATTTAATGACATTATTAAATGCTGTAATCAAAAGTAACTTCAATGAGCATTTAATTAAATTATATTAGCATTTAGTGTATTCTCAAACTATAAGACTTAATTAAAGTTGATATTAATGAGAGAGAAGAGATAAATTTAAATTTAAATTTGATATTACGGAGAGAGAGAAGAGATAAATTAAGTTTAAATTTAAAAAGAAGAGAGAAATTAAATTCGACTGATGCATAATGTGCATCAGTCAGTTTTGGGTATGTATCAATGTGTTTCGGATTGTATCAGTCGATACATACCCTAAACAGCCCCATACAAAGCCAATACGGACCCATATCGATCCGATAAAATGAAAAAAATACAAAATCCTATAATTGGACATGTTCCGTGTATCGAAACTCTTCCGAAACGATACATATCAGCCCGTTTCGGCCGATACGTTGCGAAATTTAAAACCTTGGTCATTATGATCCGGTCTTTCAATAGAATTCAACTCTACTAAAACATTGTTTATAGAGGCATGATTTTCTAACTATCTATTCATTCCATTAATTGCATCCACCAACTTCTCGAATCTCTTATCTGCTAATATATTTTGTTCAACAATTGCCTCAAAAAATTCAGATGGCCTCTTCCTATGTGCATTTTGCTTGGTGGTTGCAATAGAAACATGATCAACATCAATATTGGGTGAATCAACAATGCCTAGTGATGGTTGAACCATAGTCGTCAAGGCGAGCGCCTAGGCGACAAGGCGCCCTTTGAGGCTCACCTCGCCTAATCGCCAAGCGGTTTTCTACTTCCTACTATAAAATACTTTTTTATTCATTCTTTTTTGAGATTATAATTATAAAATAGACATTATTAAACTAAAATAATCATTTTGTGTTTATATAGTAATTTCTTTTTATTATTTTCTTATTTATTAGGGTTTAATAAACACAAACATTGCTAAATACTATATTGAACCCTTAAAGACTTAAAAACCTGAACCAATAAGTAAGGAAGAACTTAAAATTTTATCTAATCAGCACATTTTCATCTTCTATATATTCTTCTTCTACTTCTTCTACTACTATTACTACCAATACTTTTTATTTTCTTTTTTTCCTATAACAAAAATAAGGGTTGAGCCCCTATATTTTTTGAATTTTATTTTACTTCTTCTTTTTCTTCTCATGAATATGTTGATTTTCTATACTTTAATATGAAATTTATACTTTTTTTTATGAAAAGCATGAATAATTATTAAAGAAATATGGTTATGGTACCGAGGGAATTACCCTAGGATCTATGTTTTTAACATAAACAATCCATCACCTAAGCGCTCGCCTAGGCAACTAGGCAACAAGGCACCCCCCAGTCACCTAGCCTCACCTTGGCGCCTTGAAATCTATGGGTTGAACTTCTTCAACAGGTGGATCATTGTTGACATGCCCCTCATCCTGAGGTGGAGACTTTATGCCACATGCTAGAGATGTAAAAAACCTTCCTACAGGTGTGGTACCCCCAAATATAATTTCAAGGTTGTTATACCCTAGACAACCCATATTATAAAACCTTTTCGCTTTAGGCTTAGCCTAAGAAGGATAAGGAGACACCAATCAATATATACATTTACATACATATAAAGTCCTAGATAAAGATGATCTCTAAATAAATTCAAAGTTTAGCAAATACCAATAAATACTTCTCCCATGTTTCTAAGGATACAACCATATGCCTCTCTTCATCCTAACCAAATTCCATTTGTCCAAACCTCAATTTTTGAACTCTTTATACCTACTTTTTAGATAGTGTATTTTGTTACTAAAAGATTTGGTGTTGATCTTCAACCCAACTTGTCAAAAAATACTTTGTGAAACATCCTTCCAAGCATTTAGTTTCAAACACCCAAAAACCATTCCCCTACTTTGGACTTGCATCACTAGTAAATCTATGAAAATATTTTCTTGCGCAAGAGTCTAGTTTGCATTAATAATGGGTGCATCATCAAATGTTGTGGTACTGACTACACTACTTGTCATCTATACAATAATCAAATCATTGATTACTATCAAAGATCTAAAATCATTTTAAATTCCGTGTTGAATATAAGTAAATAATACAATGATGGAGTTATTTACGGTGGTAGGAGCCACCTATGGTAGCCGAACCCAAAAATATGCAAATGATCGTAAATCTGCACAAAAATAATGAAGACAAATTTTGATAGCTTCAGCAAACTTGTTGGTACAACCCTCATGCAACCAAATCACCAACTAAGAAAGATGCATTAAAAAAAGTAATAAGTAGGTTGTAGGAATTGCCAACCTCTTTAGTTTTTTGATAAACTAGTCATCCTCTATAGTTGATACTTGATGGAACAGCATCATTAATTTTTCAAAGAATGAGGTGACCTCGTACTAAGGTGGTGGGTTCCAAGGGATGATACTCCAATGTATAATATACCAGTTCAGGTTAGGGTGTCTTGGGTTTGGGTCGAGTTAAAACTAGACTAGGCCTGATCCATTGACATCTTGAGTACTAGCTTGTCCCACATTTTACTATCACCTATCGTAATGAATACCATGGGAATGGTGGTTGCTGAATCACTTTGTATTATCAAGTTGGAAAACCCTACCTCATGAGCTATGCAGAAATCATCAAAGAAATGCCCCTTGGTGATTAGAATTCATAATAAAGGGAATGGTGTCTTTATTCTATTGATGATAATCACAATAAAATGCTGTTGCAGCATATATGAGTTCAATTTGAGGCAATTCCCCACTCTCTACATATCAACTCCAATCAACAGGGCTCTCCAAATATGATACAAATCTGGATGAGACGAACACTTGAGCTGTATAGCCAATGTTTTCTTCTCATTCTCACTTTAATTGTTAGAAAACATAGATGAAGACCACCATCAGATATGCTTTAAGGTACTCACCATTCTTCTAGTCTCAACTAACCAGCATTATCCATAGCTTGCATTAGTGCTTACATGATATCCTACACCTACATTATTGCTTACATGGCCCTATGCAACCAACTTTTTTACATATTTCCAATTCACAAGAAGTTTTCAAGGCAGTATTTTGATACACATGAAATGAAGGAAAGCAAATGATTTGAAACCATGACCCTTTTGCAAGAAATAATTATAATAAGTATCATTTCTTACAACTACCACTGATTCTTTTTTGAAACCATGACCCGTTTACATGCAACCAAATAGAGGAAAAACACCTATTTGAAAATCACTTATTTTATAATTTCACATGCAGAGTTTAATTTCATAAAAGGTAGGGAAACTAGTGGGTCAATTTCACAAATGAGAGGAATTACTACAAACTAGTGGGTCAGCCAAGGACTAGAAACTAGTGTGTTTGGTTTGAAAGAAAAATGTAGGAATAGGAAGGAAAAGGAAGGAAAAGAAAGGAGATTTTTTCTTTGTGATAATGCAGACTTCAGTTTAATAAAAGAGAGGGATTACTAGAAACTAGTGGGTCAGCCAAGGACTAGAAACTAGTGTATGTTTAGTTTGAAAGAAAAAGGTAGGAATAGGAAGGGAAAGGAAGGAAAAGTTCTCTTTGTGAGAATGCAGAGTTCAACTTCATAAAAGAGAGGGATTAATTGGAAACTAGTGGGTCATCCAAGGATTTTGTCCTATCTCCCATGCCATAAAACCATGCAGAGTACATCAGCTGAGTATCCAAAGCAACAACAGTTGGGCGGTAAAATAGATATGGAAAAAAACTCTCAGAAAACTCAAAACTGGCCAACTTCAAAGTATCACTTTAGCATGTTCAGAGATATGTTCCAACAGTATCATCCCTAATCAACAGACTCCCCTGGTCTTGTTTCACAATTTAGAAGGTTAAATATGAATTTTTCAATTTACAGAAAATAAATTCAATAAAAGCCATGTACTTTGTTCATAAAATCATGAAAAAAAAATTCACTAGAAGAGGAAACATTAGAACTGATAAATCATTGCAATGGAACTGATAAACATTAGAATTGATAAATCAGTAAAACCGATTAAGCATTAAAAATAACTCAGTTGACCAACCATTCAAACCCATCAATCATTGGAACTGATAAATATAAACATTCAAGCATAAAACCCATTCGACAACCCAAACAATCGAACCCCATCGTTCGAACTACCCTTCAAACCCTAAATGTTCAATGTTTGAACCCAAATCCATTCAACAAACAAATAACTACAAAAGATTGCAACCATAGATCAAATAATTGATCCCCATCGTTCCAACAATCCTTCAAAGTTCAAACCCTAAATATTCCACACCTGAAACCCAATACTCAAACAACAAATATTTTACCAAAAAACACAACCGTAGAACATAAATATCAAACTAAATCGTTCAAACCCTAGAAATTACAATGAAAAATTAAAGAAGTGGTCAAATGTGGGTTGTGCCTTGACGGACAAAATCACTTTTGATTTGTCACCGAGGCACAAACGTTCTTCAATGGTTCCTCTGCAAGTTGAAAATGGTAAGAAAACAAGAAAAAATAGAAACGAACAACAAAGGAAGAAGAAGAAAGGAAGAGAAGCGACATACCTGACCAGACGAAGAAGAGGAGTGGCATCAGTTTAGAGGCCCCAAATATTTGAGAAAATCGGAAATCATTGAATCGGCACTGTTCATTTTGGTCAACGTGTCAACAATGACACACGTATTAGCAAGCTCTGAACGCATGTAAAAGCGGGAAGCTTCATTTCAAGTTTCCCAAAATCAGATAGAAATTGGGCTTTTCACATCATTTTGGGCCTGCCCAGAAGACCTTCCTCCAATCAAACGGAGAAAGACCCAAAACCAAGTTTTCAGCTTCTAAAAAATTAATAGCTCGCATGAAAAGAATTGCCAAACGCGGCCTAATTTGAGACGATCCCTAAATCACACACAGGTACTATTCTAGAATTTTCTCAATTGAAAGTAAGCATCGCAAACGGGGCTTGAGCTTCATGGGGCTAATGTTCGGGCTTGTTCAAAATTTGACCACTTCTCGACCCAAAACCAACCCGATTTGCAGCCCTAGTAGTCTAGCAGCACAATTGGCCATCGGTAGTGGTACGCGGATTTAAACAATAAGAGCTCACTAATCGCCATTTGTTCGCGCAATTTCCCGAAACCCGAACTGGAACTCACAATTAGAGAGAGACATTGAAGTATTTTGTGAATTGTGTGATTCAAGGTGGAATCAGAAAGCGTGAAGCAAGGAGATGGTGAACAAGGCATGGAAGATAATCCCGCGGCCATTGCTAGAGACTGTTCTCAACAATCATGCTCAGCACCACCGTGTCCCGCAACCTCTCATTCTCCACGGACCAAGGGGCGTCGGAAAAACTTCTCTTATCCTCCACCGTAACCTCTCTCTCTCTCCCTCTCTTCCTCTATCGCTCTTTCTCCTCCGCTGCATCTACCTAATTTTGTTTACCTACAAAATGTTCTCTTTCAGGTCTCCTAGACGATTGGAATAAAGGACCCCATGTAACCGGCTACGTCGATTTCGGCCTTGCAGTGGAAGATCAGAACCACAGCAATCAGACCTCTCCATGGGCTTCATGGTCCACTTGTTCACCTCCCACCCTTCCCTCCCTCCGTTCCCAGCTCGAGAGATGCCTTGAATCAATGGTCCAAAAGGGCGTTCGCCTCGGCTCCATCGGTTCTCAACAAGTCTTCTCCACCCTCAACAAATGGCATGGACTCAACACCGCCCTCCGCCGCATTCTCCAAAACAACACCAGTTATTCCTCCACTGCTATCACCGTCGCCAATGACAAGGTTCCTACTTCTGTATTATGGTCCAGGGCGATATTTGCACTATCTGCTCGATCAAAGACCGATGAGATTGACTCACTACTGGGGTTACACGAGAAAGGTAAGCTTGTTACTCTCGAAGAAGCCTCCTACTTCAGGGAAGCAATGCTGTCCCTGCGGTTGGCAAAAGAGGTGCTTGAGGTGCAGCAGGGCTGGCGAGCTAAGGCAATTGCTCACTTAAATAGAACTGGTGGGTTTTCGAGGTCCCTTGCAAATTCGGCTACTGATTGGCCGTGCTTATTGTTGGAACTTTTGTCGGCCTCCGCTGAGATCGATTACTTTCAGGTATAATAATTACATTGATTTGGTCCTGTGTTCTCCCTCTTCTATTTCTGAGTAGTTTATTCACAATATTTTGGAGAAAGTAGTGGAGAAGTTTAATCCAACTTATATCGTATTCATTTTTTTTTTTAATGTTGTTCAAGACTTCGGTTCTTCTGATGTTTGTTTGATTGATGGAACCTCTCGTACTTTATTGAGCAGCCAAAGCTGGTCCTAAACAATATTGATCTTCTTCGCAATGCAATTTTAACGGATGAGTCAACAGTCTCTGCCTCAATGTATCATGACAGTCTTATTTACAGATTAATAGCATTGGGTGTCAATGAGAGGTGCCTGCCCGTTATACTTATAACATCTGATAGGTAAGCATAGCCCTCTATTCGCATTTCTTCTCAATTCATCTCTCCTATAACAACTGCTTTATGTTTATGCATGAGTAGTTTCTTGATTTTTTGTCTTCTATTCCTGAAACACGTTATTTTCCATATATAAAAAATCCTTTTAGCTTTTATTGGTTTTAACTAAGAACGAGGCAATAATAAATTTGGCATGAAGTTGGTACATTGTTATTTATGAAACGACTGGGATTTGTTATTCAAGATAGTGGCAGTGGATTGTTAGGAATTTAAGAGGGAACTCATGTTGCTCTCTCGTTCAATAATTTAGATCAGTTTCAGTATGTGTCTCAGTCAATGATGAAGTTGGCATGGCTTTGTTAATCTGCTGTGGCATTTGCAGGGTTGGAACCAGGATTCTGTGTTGTGGGGCGGGGGTTATTATTTTGTGTGGGGGGTCTATGCTGCATTTGGTTGCAAGAAAAATGGAAGAAAATAAAAAAAAAAATGAAAGAGAAAGGAAAAGTGGGAAGGAAACTAAGGCCCCATTTGGCATCAATTCTGAAGATTCTACTTCTCAAAATCCTTCTAAAAAGAATGGATTCTAAATTTTTCTGATTCTAAGAATCTATGTAGGTGTTTGGAAAACATTCATAATTCTTATTTCTCAGAATAAGAATGATGTTTGGCATGAGTCAATTTCTTCAAATTAATTCTATAAGTGACAATCACATAAAGCCAACTTGTAAATGGTTATCCATCACATCTCATTGCCATTCAAATAGTCTCAACTGCAGTTCAAATCTTCAATTGAAGGAATGACCCCAATCTACACATTATTACTAGCTTCAACTGGCTTCAAGTTTACTTCCTTGAGATCCATCTCTTGCAATTTGTTATCATCAAGATTGGAATAATTAAGAAAAGAGATTGTCCAGCTTGCTGTAAATGTGTCCAATATTTTTTGATGAATAATAATAAATTTATTAATTCAGAAGCTGATTTAGAGTTGTGAATTCATACAACATCCGAGGAAGAGGCGCGAGTTGCAGCCCCTCCTTGAATCTTACAAGTAAACTAGAAAAGAAATACAGGATTCATAGCTGAGCCCAAAACAATTCTTCCCTATTTACCCCTTGCTTGGCTAACAAATCTGACAAAGTATTTGCTGATCTCCCCACCCACTGTACAGTGACCAACATATTCCTTGTCAACCAACTGAATTTCTTCATTTCATTCTTGTAGCGCCATATAGCCTCTTCAGGATTTTTCAACCAACCCATGACCACTTTGGAATCCCCTTCGATTATTAGGTCCAATATTTTGATCTTTATAATAATCTATACCAGCTAGCAATTGGTGTAACTCTCTTTCCCCTGGTATCCTGCATGGATCTTGAACTCTTAAAAATCATATACAGTTCACTAACAGTTTTGTATTACAAGGCAACCTTTTACAATTGGATTATCTAACCACCCTTATCATTTGGTTATTTTCTACCATAAAAAATATCATTTGTTCATTAAGTTCATTCAAAAAAAGCAGTAAATCTCACCTTCATTAGACATTTTTCAATTGTTAAAACATAGATAACTACTTGGGGATGCTACTAAAATAAAAATAAAATAAAATAAAAACAATGCATTAAAAAGTAAATAAACAAACATTCCACCAAAATAATTGTTGTTGGAATTGTTTGGGGTGATGCTAAAATTGTAGAATAAAGATGTTTCAAATAAGCTGTCTCCAGGGCAATAAATCTAGGAACAAGTAATCAAAACTCTGAAGAAAAATAGATAACAAACTGGTTCAAAGAAATAGTTGCCAACTGATATAAAACCAGCCATAGAAAAAACTGGAGAGTTGTTAAGCAGATCTCTTGACCACTGATGCAGATTTTGTGTTTACAAACAAAAAAAAAAAAATACCTTACCGGAGAGGATTGACCACTGACGGAGAAGACAATTAGATCTTATGTAGCCGTTGAGAAGAGCAGCCGTTGAGCAGAGAGGGATTATGGACAATGAAAAGAAGATGAAAGAAGAGGGATTATGGGCTTAGGGTTTGACGATGTTATATTTTTATACAAAATTACATTAATACCCCTTTTCTTATGCGTAATTGATCTCATGTGTTTGCTTTTTTTAAAGGATGTAGCGAGAATTGTTGGGCCTCAAGAATCAAATTCTTAGAAGTGTCTTTTTTTCACTCCGCGGAATCGCGATTCGGGGGGGATTTTTTCATCCCATTTTGAATGAGAATCGATCAACTGGTTTTAGCAAAACGTGTCTCATCTCAAGAATCACCAGAATTGATAGAATCGCTCTCGGGGAGTGATGCCAAATGGGGCCTAAGAGAATTATCACAGTTTGGTTTCAGAAAGAAAACCAATTAGAAAATATTCATCAAAAAAATTACAAGAACAAGAAACAATAACGAGTAAAAGAATATTTCTATTTAGGAATTGATTGATTCCAAGTCCCCATGAACCATGCAGATTGGGGTTCTTAATTTTTCTTATGCATCAAGAAAAAGAAATCTAAAATAATGTATATCCAATCAAAAACTAAAGTAATGTATCAACATCTTCAATCCATACTTGCAGCAAACCAATGAAAAACAATAGAGTTCTTAACAAAGGACTTCCCAATGGTTACAATGCAAACTAGAAAGAGATGAAGAGAGTGGAGCCTGAAGGTTCACTTGAAGATATGTGTGCCCAGAGAGAGTTCAATGATATTGAAAGCACTGAAGAGCAAGTTGTGTTTTAAAAGAGAGAAGTGCAACTAGTACAACAAGCAGTGTATCGGAGTTTTATGTGAGAGACAAATACCACTTAGAAAAAGGAAAATTCTGTAAAGCAGTTGTGAGGTCAGCGCAGTATAGAGCAGAGTGTTGGGCAATCGAGAAACAACACATCCAAAAAATCAGTCTGGCACAAATGCGTATGCTGAGATGGATGAGTGGAAAAACTAGAAAGGATAGGATTAGAAATGAAGTCATTTGAAGGAGCACAGGAGTAGCTTCAGCCTCCAATAGGTGATAAAATGAGAGAAAGTAGACTAAGATGGTTCGGTTATGTGCATAGAAGGCTACCAACAACACCCAAAAGAAGTGATTTATTGCAAGCTGAAGGGGCTAGAAGGGCTAGGGGTAGACCAAAAAGGACATGGGTAGTAGCAATAAATGATTTAAGTGTCAATAATTTAACAACAGATATGACAAACTGAACGGAATGGCAAAACAGGATTCATGTAGCTGACTCCATATAGTTGGAGTAAGACATGGATGATGATGATGATGGTGATGACAACGATGATGAAATGCAACTAAAGTACAGAGAGTTCCTGGAACTTGAGACTCAAGGTTTGGTGCAGCCTTAAAGTAAAGGGCAGCCCAGTGCATGAGGCTCCCACCAATGCAGGGTTTGGGGAGGGACAGATTACGCAGCCTTACCCTGCAGATACACAGAGAGGCTGTTTCCGAGATTTGAACCCTGGTCACCGAGGTTGCAATGGAGCAACCCAACCATTGTGCCAAGGCCCCCCCTCTGGTTGACCTCAAATATAAGGCCTGAAAATGTTGAAATTCAAACTCTGACTTTTTCCCTCAGTTAATTCCATGGGGATGGAATCTTAATTAAGACTTGCTTAACCTGCCATTGGCCTTGAAACATTTCAACCCATATTGAGAAACACTTTTCCATTATATTTTCACGTGCTCAACCTTTTTGGGTACAAGAATGTATGCAAAACTTTTTCCCTGGTACAATATCAGATGCTAATATTTACCCACAGTAAGAGTTACCATCTCAAAGTGCTTAACCACTTTTTCCGCCCTTTTTTTATAGATTTCTCCTTTCTGTCATTGGAAATCCTTTTCCCCCTTCTGCAGCAAATTGTTTTCTATTTTTTTATATTTTGGTATCTAGACCTAATACTTGCTTTTGCTTCCCAGCTACTATTCATACCGAGCCTATATGGACTTTGGGTTTCCAGATATATTCATCTCCCGAGAGGTAGTCATGTTATTTGGGATACTCTTTTTTCTTTTTATTACTGAGTTATTATTAGGACTGTAAGGCAGGAAGGATGGTTGTGTCCTTCCTTGTCGGTGGCACGATTGCAAGACAATCATGTTGCCATTTGGAGGTAGTTGAGGCCAAAAGATAAACCTGAGTGGATGATCCAAGGCATTTCTTGTGTAACATTTCTCTGGACATCAGTTGTACTAGATTGTATAGTTGGGTAACCTTATATGGAAATTTTTGGCCAATAAGATCACATTTGGACTTATGAGATCTCATATTGGAACTTTCCACCGTGGCTTTATATGCAATACATGCCATGTGTTGTTTAGGGTAGATAGGCAAGTTCATATTCCAGATATAGCACACTTATCCTTCATATGTAGTTTTGTTCTGTTATTTGATACACATGTTAGACATCTGGTCACAAATTGATAATGTATGGCTAACTTCCATTATGACTTTGATCTGAAGACATTTGGATGGACTCCTCAAGAGGCTAAAATGCACATGGTTGCTGATTACTTCACAGCATCTGAGGTGAGCATTCTTTTTTTTTTTTGTGCTGTGTAAATCTTCTACCTTGGTAGTTAAGGTAAACTCATTCTGTTATTGAATTGCTTATATTAAAAAATATTCGCTACTCTTGTGTTGACTCTTCAGCATTCATAATGAGGTTTTCTAAATATTGTTTTTTGTTGAAGTTGTAGTGGGTACTGATTGCTGAAGTGCTAGGGCCAAATCCAAGACACCTCTCTGAGCTTTATGCACTTAAGCAAAGTAGTTATTACAAGTAAGTATTACTCCTTCTTGAGCAATATTTTCATCGCTTTTAGTAGTGATGGGATTGTGCATTTACTTGTTAACATGCATAATAGTTATATAAAGGTTTGACTTATTTACTGCAGTTCAATGACTCGAGATATATGCTTCAAGATTACTTGAGATAACATTTATAAAGAATAGGCATTTTCTTTATGTGTTATATTCATATGAAAAAGCACAAGAAAGCGAATGGTATTGTCTTTGAGCTCTTGGTTTAGGAATAGTAATTTTTTTTTTTTAAGATTACAACTAGACTTAAACATTCAAAGAGTTCCAGAAGTCATCTCCGAAATTTGCTTTGCTTAATCCTTCGAATTCTGGCAAAACAAAGACCCACCCTACAATCCTTGAACTGATGACAGCCTCGAACTTTCTGTTGCTTCTCGATTTTCCTTCAAATTTTCTTTTATTTCTTTCCTTCCAGGTTTCCCAACATGCAGCAAATGGAAATGGAACACAGCTCCAAATAATTTTTGTTTTGATGCTTCCATTCACCCTCAGTCAGCAGCCAAATATCTCCATGCAGTCACTAGGATCCCATCCATCCATGTTGAACAGCTTGAAAAAATAGGCCCAAATACTCCTAATGAAACTGCAGTGCACTAAAAGGTGAAGGATAGACTCCTCTTTAGACAAGCAAAGTGGGCATCTATTAGGAAACTGATGGCCTTTCTTTTTCAGATTGTCTTGAGTCAGGATACTTCCCATTGAAATGAGCCAAGCAAAAGCCTCCACCCTTGGGGGAATTGACTTCCCCCAAACTCCTTTAACTGAATCAGACTCTACCTGATTTCTGGACAGCATTGTAAAGAGACTTGACAGAAAATCTTCTGTTTCTATTTTCTTTCCACCATCTAGCATCTGGAAGTGAAGGATTCACTTCCACCTCTTGAAGCTTCTGCAACAGCCCCACACACTCCTCTATCTCCCAATCAAGCAGAGATCTTCTGAATTTAGGACACCACACCACTGCCCCATTGCAAAATTCATATAATTGAGAAATAGGTACACCGTACACCCTTCTTACTTAGACCATAAAGCCTAGAACATAGCTCACACAACTTTCCAACCACAATCTAGTTGCCCTCCCAAAATCTGACACTTGAACCACTCCCCACCTTCCAATAAAAAAAGGCTGAATCAACAAGTTAAATTTCATGATCCCTTTCTAGACACTCACCCCATAGGGAGATCGAATTTCCCTTACATCCAACCCAAAATTCACCACTCCATATTTGTAGGCCACCACCCTTCTCTATAGAGCTTACTTCTCTTTACCAAAGCTCTAAACCCATTTCCCCAACAAGGTCTTATTAAAAGTTCCCTCCCTTCTCACTCCCAATCCCCTATCCTTCTCGGCCCTACAAACCAGGTCTCAACTCACCAAATGATATTTCTTTTTCTCTACCTTTAGATTCCAAAGAAAGTCTGTCTGTAACTTTTCAATTTCTTCTTGAACCGAAGCTGGAACCTTAAGCAAAGACAAGTAGTAAATGGGTAAGTTGGAAAGAACACTCCTTATTAAAGTGATCCCCCCTCCCAAAAGATAGGTATTTGCCTTTTGAGGCACCCTAAAGCCACAACACGTTCCTCCAAGCAAGCCTGCTGAATCTCTCCCACCCCAATCTTCACACTCTGAGGTTGATTTTTAACCCCGAGAGAAATTGGAAGCTTTTGAGGATTCCTCTCAAGTTGTAAGATTGTTCTACAGATGCGTCCATGAAGATCAAGGTGTCATCGGTGTATTGAAGATGAGAAATGTTAAACTCTCAGGTCCAATCTTGAAACCAACCAACAAACCTGTATCTACTCCTCTATTCAACAACTTACTCAATACTTCCACTGCTAGGGCAAAAAGCAAGGGGGAATAAGGGATCCCTTTGCCTCAAACTCCTCGAAGCCTTAAAGAATTTTGTTGACACTCCATTAACCAAAGTTGAAAAGGATACTGATGAGATGCACACAAACATCCAGCTTCTCCGTTTCTCCCAAAACCCATCCTACTTAGCACCTCCTCTAAGAAACACTATTCTACATGATCATATGCCTTTTCCAAATCAATTTTGTAAACTACTCCACCTTCCCCATTTCTTATCCTTGCATCCACACATTTGCTTGCAATCAAAATTGCATCCAAAATCTGACACCCATGTATAAAAGCCATTTGAGTGGGACCCACCACCATATGAAAGACCTCTTTTAATCTTGTCGATAGCACCTTGGCAATGGTTTTGTATGGGCTTGATATCAAGCTTATAGGCCTAAAATCCTTCACCCTGGTTGCACCTACAACCTTTTTTATTACTTTCTTTTTATACCTATCCCCACCCCTTTTATTTTTGGCTCCCTTCTTAGCCTTGGGCCCACCACTACTACTCGCCTCAACCATTACCCTTTCATTTGAATTTCCATTATTACCTTCTAGGCTTGACCTGGCTTCCCCAAATTCTATTCCCATTTTTCCCTTACTCACCCGAGCACTTTCATCATCTTCTTCTTCCCCTTCCAGTTGTTCCCTTGTAACCAACGACTTTTCCCCTTCTCTTATTCTTTTCTCCTCTCTATCAGACCAAATCCTTTCTGTTGCATCTCTCTCAAAGATGCCTCCCCGACTTATGCACTGATCCTTTCCTGCGACTGCTAAACTCAATTGATAAACTTCTCTGGCGTAGAAGAGATCTAATGACGTTGGAATCAAACAAGCGTTCTCTGATCGCACTAAAATCCTAGCATATTGGAGTTGTTCCCACCGACAATTTCTAAAGTCAATACATCTGAACTCATCGCAAGCATTTCCAATATCTCTGAAAGTCTCCAAGCTCCAGGCGTGCAATGGGATGTCGTAGACATCAATCCAAACCTCGTCTGTCTTTTCTATCAATTTCCCAAAATCTGGCCTCCACCTATCGACACATAGCTTTGGCAACCTGATGACACCTTCTTTTTCTTGTTCCAGAACCATTTCCGTATGATATTTCTTCCTAAAGCTCAGCAGGAATGTGCAAGCCCCCTGTCTTTGCACATTCACTAAACCTCTTCCTTGCCATTCTTTAAAAGCCCAATCTTCCACATCTCTAGTGCCAGGGTCAGCTTTGATAAATCTCCCAACCAGGCAATGCTGTAAAAGTTCTAACCTCTCAGTAGAAATCACTAATTGCAAATTTAGTCGAATTTCTTGTGAAAGGAAAGAGGAAGATAAAGATTTCAGCAGTAGAGAAGAAAAGAGAAGGAGAAAAGAGTAGGAAATCAACCAAGATTCTTAGATTAACCCTAGCTGCCAACCCCTCATTATATTTATACTTAACTTAAAGGATGAGACATTACAAGGATGCCCTTATTAGGGCGGCTACTAATGTAGCTGAACAGTCACAACTTAAAAACATAAACTAATGGGCCTAAAGCTCAACAACTTCCTAACTAAATTCCATCTTTTGATCTTGCAACTTCAATACCTAAGAAGTATCTCAGTTCTCCAAGATCCTTAATTTCAAATTCTTTATGTACATTCCTTTTCAGACAATCAATCTCACTTAGATCATTCCCCGTGACAACAATATCATCCACATAAACAATTAGGACTAACACCAAAGATCCCCTTCGCTTCACAAACAAGGTATGATCGGATTGAGTCTRAGTGTAGCCAAAAGCAATCAAGGCCTTTCTAAATCTGTCAAACCATGCTCTRGGAGATTGTTTCAAGCCATAAAGTGACTTCTTAAGCCTGCATACCTTTCCCTTTTCAGCATCATTGTAAAAGCCAACAGGAAGATCCATATACACTTCCTCTTGCAGATCCCCATTTAGGAAAGCATTCTTCACATCAAGTTGAAACAAGGGCCAAGAGTATGAGGCAGCAAGAGAAAGAAGTATCCGAACAGAGGTCATCTTTGCAATGGGTGCAAAGGTCTCAAAGTAATAAATGCCATAGGTCTGTGTGTTCCATTTTGCAACAAGTCTTGCCTTGTACCTTTCTATACTTCCATCTGCCTTATATTTTAATGTGAAAACCCATCTGCATCCAACTGTCTCCTTGCCTTCTGGTAGATCCACAATGTCCCATGTCTGATTCTTAATCAAAGTTGCCAACTCTTCCTGCATAGTTGTCTTTCACTCAGGTTTGGAGAGAGCCTCACTAACACCTTGGGTATAGACATTGAGTCAAGAGAGGAAAGAAAATCACGATAGGAAGGAGAAAGTCCACTGTAGGATAAATACTGTGAAATACAATGAGCAGTACACTTTCTCTTCCCTTTTCTGAAAGCAATAAGAAGATCAAGGTTATCTGTAATAGGGTTAGTAGAATCAATGGGAACTAAAACAATAGCGAGACCTAGAGGAATACTTGAATCCATGTCAGTTGAATCTAGAGTCTCCAAAGAATCGACAGGAAGTGATGTGAGTTCTACTGTAGTGGAATCAACCTCCTTGTGAAGTCTCTGTTGTAAGTAATGCTGAGAAGCAGGACACAAAGGAGGTGGTAAGGTAGGTGACATAGGAGGTGGTAAGGTAAGTGACACAGGATGGTCAAGCACAAGAGTAGACACAGGGACTGGAACTGGGAGAGCAATAGACTGTTGACTCACTTCTCCAAAACACTCCCCCTGAGAAGGATTCTTTGAGAAGAAGTACATGGATTCAAAAGAGTGACATCCATGGTAACATACCGGCTCCCAGAGACTGGATCATAGCAGCAGTACCCTTTTTGATTTTCTGCGTATCTAAGGAAGACACACTTCTTTGCCTTGGGATCAAGCTTCGAGTGGTGAGGACCAAGGATATGTGCAAAGCAAACACACCCAAATACCCTGAGAGGAATATGAAACATCTCCCCCTCAGGAAAAAKGAGACTGAATGGGGTGCTGAATCCAAGTATACGAGAGGGCACCCTRTTAATCARATATACTRCTRTGRGAACYGCRTCACCCCAAAACCGAACTGGAACTGTAGATGTGATCATCATGCTTCTTGCAATCTCAACAATGTGTCTGTTCTTCCTTTCTAC